TCTGGTCTACAGGGGTCTCCAGACCCACAACAATGTGACTGACTCTGAATTGCCCTCTGGACAGTTAGGGATGGGCAATAAATGCTGCCTAGCCAGTGACGCCCTCATCCCGTGAGTGGATAAAGGAGTTCTTTAACAAGTTGCTAAATTCATTTATAATGCTACAACACAAAAAGGTGAGGTTTTCCAAATCTTGAGAATCAAGGAAGAACTGGCCCCACACCTCATCTTTCTGATGAAGGGTCTAGGCCCGAAACGTCAGCCTTCCTGCTCCTATGATGCTGCTTGGCCTGCTGTGTTCATCCAGCTCTACACCTGGTTATCTCAGATTCTCCAGCATCTGCAGTTCCTACTATCTCTCCCATGCCTCACCTTGCTTGCTCTACAAAATGCTCCTACTTTTTAAGGTGTTTACCTGTGGTAAAATTCCCTGCAGCTTTTGCAAGAGTTCAGTATTTTATAAAATTAATAAAAATCAATTTTTACGTCAGGAATTACATAGGAGATAGCCATTATAAAACAGGTTTGTTTTAATATAGGTTCCTTCTGATATTAAAAAATCTGTTGCATTCTTTAATAGAGTAAATTAACATTAAATGCCACATGCCAATTTTCTACAGCAGCACTCAAATAAATGGTTTGCATCTTTAACAAACAATGAGTGTATAAAGGAGTTAGCATACAAATTCCTAGGAGATCAGATACTTCATTTTAGATAAAAATTACAGTTTGTATTGGAAATCTGTAGATGACGAAGGCATTTTGGACAGTGCTGTGCAAAGAAATGACAGACTTGAAGGCTGTTCAATCTAACTAAATGTTGCAAAGTTATGAACTTTTGATATGCCCTCCCTTTACGTTAACTGAGAATTCTTCCCCATTGAAGGGAACAAGGCCCCCGGCCATGCCCATTCCATTTCTCAGGCTTCAGCTCTTATTCCTTTCTCTCACCCAGAACCATGACAGAATTCTCCTTTGGGAGTTCCAAACAGGATGCAAGCCATCAATGCCAGGGGGATTTATCTGTTTTTAGCCCCATTGGTTTGGCTAAATCTGTTCCTTTAGTGACATTTAATTAATCTTCTGTATTCTTTGGTATTAATGGAACATTCAATGTATCTTTAACCCGATAATCCGATGCAAAAAATATCTGCTTAAAATACCTGCCATTTCCTTGTTTTCATAGAATCCCTACGGTATGGAAACAGGCCCTTTTGCTCAACAGGTCCACACCAATCTTCAAAACATCCCACCCAGACCCATCCTCCTATAACCCACCTAAGCTACAAATCTCTGAATACTATGGGCAATTTAGCAATCCCAAACTACCTCACCTGCACATCTTTGGAATGTGGGAGGAAATCGGAGCACCTGGAGGAAATCCACACAGACATGGGGAGAATGTGCAAACTCCACATAGACAGTCGCCCGAGGGTGGAATCGAACCCAGGTCCCTAGCGCTGTGAGGCAGCAGTGCTAACCACTGAGCCACCGTGCCGCCCTTATATCTACCGTGCCATTTCTCATAACTATCTTCACAGATTCATTTTCTAAGGCGTATGTTCACTTTGACCCCTCTCTCCCCTTTCATATGTTTGAAGAAGCTCTTATTGTCAGTTTTTATGCTCCTTGCTAGTTTGCCATTGTAATTTATTTTCACTCAAATTTCTTTAATCCTCCTCTGCTGGATTCTGAATTTATCCCAGACTTTGGGGCTATCATGATTTTTGCCTCTTTATATGCTTTTTCTTTCAACTTTATACTCCCCTTCACTTCCTTGACTAGCCATGGTTGGTTTATCCCGATCTTAGAACCTTTCCTCATTACTGGGCCATATTTTTGCTGGGAGTCAAGAATTACCTCATTAAATGTTTACCACTCCTTGCTTACTGACTTTCTTGCTAATCTATCTGCCCAGTTCACTTCAGCTAACTGTATCTTCATTTCATCCCGATTCCCTTACTAGCATCCTAATCAACAGATCTTGCACTATTTTCACCACCTCCTCCATGATACTACCATGAAGTTTCCCCTCTCACCTCCCAAAATTCCAAAAAGATCATTCTATCCACACCTCTGATCCTTCCTTCAATTACACCCAAACTCATTCCCATGGTCCCTTTCCATGTCAGCACAAGAGATACAACTGTACCATTTTACTCCTCCTTACTTAGAGGCCAAGATCCCAAAACACTCCTTCCCGGAGGAACACAGAGATTTATTGTATACTCCATTTACTGTTTTGAATACAATCTACTTTACACTTCGGAGAATAAAAGATTGGATGACCACTTTACCAAACCCTTCCATTCAAGCCAACAAGCATAGACCTAAGCATCTTGTCACAATCATGCTGACATTCAGACGTCCTCCAAATACATTTCACCTAGTTATTTATCATTCCCTTTGGTCTTGCACCACCAACTCTTTGCTGTCCAATCTCTCCTATCCCCTATCCTATTTATTGGCCCTCTGATGTTTTTCTAGTCCTCCACCTTTCACTTCTTTAAAAAAAAAACTTATTTCTTTACAAATCTTTCCCATTTTGGTGAAAAGTCACTGACCCGATACATTAACTCTGTCTCTCTCTCTCCATAGATGCAGTCTTACATTCTGAGTGCTTCCAGCACTTTCTGTACTTCATGGATATAGCAAAGTCATGCTTTATACATACTCAGTAAAGATATACAACAAACTTTCTTTGTACTCTTTTTTAAGGGAACTTCATGAGTGAAATGGCAAAATTGGATCAGTATTATTTAGGGGACTTCAAACAAAAACAAGTGAAAAAATTCAGTAGCATTAGATAACCTGACATCACAATGCCAAATTGTGCCATGCAATACAAAGAATCACTATTAAAATGTAAACACCATCCCCTTACAACATACTCGAGTAAAAATAACAAATCGTGCAACATTCATCGTACAATAGCTAAGTATGAAGAATTACATGACAAAAATTGGAACCTACTTTTTAGTTAGGCAGGGGGACATTTACTTTTGCTGAGTTACTTAAAAATCCTAAAAGTCTATTGATTTATAAGCACCAATAAGATCTGGAGCAGTAATCCTTTTTGAGAATTCCAAAAACATTGACTGAGCATTTCCTTTGCTGTTTAAGGTGCTGAATGAACTCTGGCATTCTATTTTGCAATAGATTCCAGCTCAAGTATTAGAGTCGAGATCTAATCATCAGGGGTAGAGAAAACACCTCTTGTTGAGATTTGGATTTCATGCTGATTCTGGATCAAATTTAGCATTAAAAGGGAATGAAAGACGATGTTACAATTGGCGATAAAATCAAATGGATACTAGTCAGCAATTTAAACTAGACTGGCACCGGAGACTCATTTCTTGGGCTTTTGCCCAAAATGGCCTTTGCATGCAAATTTTTAATTTGCTGCACAGCTGATTTCTGGTAGTGGTTAATAGTTTGAAAACAAAGTTTCATGATGTTTTGGTGGTGGGAAAGTCATTTAGTTGTGTGTGATAGCACTTCCAGATACAAAAGGAAGAAAATAATTAAGTGCCTCTGGGGCTCCACTGTGGTAATGGCCCTACCTCTGGGCCAGGAGGCCGAGTTCAAGTCCCTTCTGCTCAAGAGGTGTGTCATAACATCCCTGAACAGGCTCATTATAAAATATTGATCATGAATTAATTTGTTTGGAGGTTATCATTCAGAGGTTCCTTTACACACTCTTGGTGGTGCAATGGAAGTGTCCTTACCCCTGCATCAGGAATGTTCAAATCCCACCTGCTCCAGAGGTTCTGTAACAACAGCTCTGAACAAGTTAATGAGAATATAGAAAACACAGCCAAGAAGCCATTTCGCTTCTCATACTAGGGCTCATTGCACAGTGATAGCATCCCTATCTCTGAGCCAGGAAGTCCAGGTTCAAGTCCCACCTAGAGGTGTGTAATAACATGTCAACCTGTTCAGGTTGTGTTATGTTTAGAAAATATTAAGCTATTTGATAGGCTTTACAATCTAAAGACTTCAAGAGTCTGTGATAGCAAGTTAATAAAAGTTGAGTTTAAATTGCTGAAAATGCGGGTCTCTTCATTGTTAAATTAGGTTTAGCAATACCTTTCTTCAGACAAGATGCATTCCCTCCATCCCTTGTCTCGCAAAACTCCTGATTTGTCTTTCTAGGGCAAAAAGTTAAAAAAAAAACCATAAAGCATAACTATACTGTTGTCTAATTCCTAATTCCTACGATTAGGAGCAGGTCATGGGTGACTTTCTTCATTTGCTTTTGTTGGTAATTCTACAGTAAAATACCACAGCGTTGAGTGTATTGTAGGTGTTTATAAAAAAAAATTAGTTATGGAAAATATTTGTTTAGTAAGAATTTTGAATTGGAAATAATTACTACTTTTCAGAGACAAACATAAAAATGATATATTGTATGGGATCAACCAGTTTTATTCAGTGTTAATAAATTCTTTTTAAGCTCATGTACAAAAACATAAAAGTACCACGATATTACTTCAGGCGTGATTTTGTGTTTTTGAAGATCAGAGAACGATTTCAATCATCTGTTAAACTAGTACAAATTTAAGAGGGGGTTCAATTTTTCTTTCCATTTTCAGGCTGGAAAAATCTCTTGGAGGTTAATAATAGGTGACTTCTAATATTTAAACTACTGCCTGTAGAAATGGATTAAAAATACCAGAAGGCATAAAACAAAAGGATTACTTTGGAGAAGAAAGATCCTACTATTTTGCATACTGCAAACAGAAATGAATACAGTAGATAGTGACCATATTCAGGTGAAATAGTGAATCACATATAAATTTGCATTCCAACGTTTGTAATACAACTGATTTTTAATTCGAACAAGATATGCTGCAAACGGTAAAATTTCACTCAGTTGCACTGCCTTTTTTTTGTTTTACTGACATTGCAATGATGAAGAAAAAAGTCTAATACCTTAGTTCTAAATAAATCAGATACTTTAATAAGTGTAATCCTGTACATTAGGCAATAAACTTTACCTGCAAAACATAGTCCAGTGCTATATGTCGAAAGCACTTGCGTGTTGCTGTTAGGATGTTCGTAGCCTCTTCCACTTCATGTTGCTTATTTCTTTGAACTTGAGCATTTTTCACTAATGCATTTTCTTTCTCTTCACTGACCTTGTCAAACTGTTTTTTTACGTCTTTAAATTTTCTAAGATCCCTGGAAAAGATAAATAGAAAGAGCTTGTATTTGCGTAGTACTTTTTATGACTTCAAGTAATCTCAGGAAGCTTCAAGAAATAATTAAGTACTTTTTCATTTATTTATTTGCAGGATATGGACATAGCTAGTTATGTCAACACATTGCTGATTGCCAATTGTCCTCGAGAAGATGAAGAGTTGTCTGCTTGAACAGCTCATGGGAACTATGCCTAGTCCAGTTAGGAAGCTGGTTCCAGGATTCTGATCCGGTAAGGCTGAAGGAACTACAACATAGTTTCAAATTAGGATAATGTGCGTCTTTGGAGAGAAACTTACAGCTGGTGGGTGTTCCTATGCAGCCACTGTCCTCTTCTTTCCATGTGGTACACTCAAAAATTTCAACAATGCTGTCAATAAACCTATGGTGAGTTGTGGCAGTGCAACTTGTGGATGGAACAACACAATTGCCACTGTCCACTGGATTTGAAGGGAACTATATCTAAGGTGATGGATGGGATACCAACCAAGAGGGCTGCTTTGTTCTGGATGGTGTTGAGCCATCCAGGAAAAAGTTGCTGGAGCTGCACCCCTCCAAGTGAAGACTATTCCAGCATACTACTGACTTGTGAAATGTAGATGGTGCACAAGCTTTGGAGAATCAAGAGGTGAATTCCTAGCCTCTGACTCGCGCTTATATCCACAGTATGATTGGTCCAGTTCAGTTTCTGGTCAATAGTAACTCCCAGGATATTAAGAGTGAAGGGTTCACCAATGCCAGTGACCATCAAAGGCAGATGGTTGAATTCATTGCCTGGCACTTGTGTGACATGAATGTTGTTTGCCACTTCTCAGCACATATTTAAATGTTATCCAAATCTCACAGTGCATGTCCATAAGCAGTTTCAGAATGAGGAGCAACAAAAGGTGCTGAACATTTTGCAGTCATCAGCAAACATCCCCACTTCTGACCTCATGATGGAAGAAAGGTGATTGATCGATCAGCTGAAGATCATTGGGCCACAGGGCACTACCCCGAGTAACTTCTGAAATGATGTCATGGGGTTGAGGTGACCAAACTCCAATAATCCCAAACATCTTCCTTTGCGCTTGGTATGATTCCAAGCGATGGAAAGATTCCCCCACCCCATGAATTCCTATTGTCTCCAGTTTGGATACCATACTCTGTCAAATGCTGCTCTGATGTCACAGACATTTATTCTCACCTCCCCCTTGAAGTTCAGCTCCTTTGTCCATGTTCGGACCAAGGATTTAACAAGGTCAGCAGTTAAGTGGCCTAGCTGGAACCCAACTGATCAGTCAGCCAGCAAGTTATTGCTGAGTTATTGCCACTTGCTGATGATTGATTTATTTGTTGTCATGTATATTTTGTAACAAAATACAGTGAAAAGAGGTGTAAAGTGTTAGCACTCTCCAGAGCCATCTTAAAACGCAGAAAAATAAACCAAAACATAGAATATAAAGGCAGAAAAATAAAGAAAAAAAGTGTTCAACTTTACAGTCCTTGTAAGTGTTCTGCCTTGGGCCACGGGCCTGGTAGCCAGGCACAAGTCTCCTTTGCCACACCATGCCAGCACTGGAATGGAAGTCACCACTCTTTAGCACCCTCTCGCCTCTATCAACACCCTCACTGGATCTCACCAATGCAGACGCCACTGATTCCAGCAGGTACTGCACCATGTTCTGCCACCGCCACGTGGCTTTTGGCCCACTTTGCCGATACAGCCACTGCTGATGCCAACAGGTCTTGTACTGGGTCCAAACTTGCTTCTGCTACCACCTCCACAAATCTGTGCTGGATGCAGATGCCACCAGGAACCCAAACTCAAGCAAAATTTAAAAAAAAGTAAAGAAGGAAAGGAAAGCAGATGAGCCCCGGGCTCAGAAGCCCTACTCCACCGCTATCTTACCCTAAGTATTTTCAGAATATGGGTGTTACTTGGCTGAATTGATTTATCCTGTTTTGGACATACCTGGGCAATGTTCAACATTGTTTTGTAGATGTCAGCATTGCAGTACAGCCGGGACTGGTCTAGAATGGTGGTGCCTGAAACATATAGTCACATGTAGAAACATACCTTGCAAACTATGTCAGTCTGCTGTTTGCTGTGGAGCAGCTATTCTTAATTTTGACACAAGCCTCCTGATGGTAGTAATGAAAAATTCCGCAGGATCAACAGAGCTGGGTTTGCCTTTATGATTTCTGGTGCCTTCGTCTTTGTGAGCAGTCTATCCCATTTCTTTCACTTCATTTAAACTTGTATCAGTTTGGAACAAATGAGAAGCTCACCAGGCCATTTCAGATGGCATTTAAGGACAACAACATCACTATGGGTCTGAAGTTATGTCAGCTGACTTCTTTCCTTGATCATTGCATCAGGTAAGTTTGAGATAATCAACAAGTCTTAAATTCCAAATGTTTTAACCGAGATTAATTTCCAGCAGCTGTGGTGGGATTTGAACTCATGACAAAGCACTAACCTGGGTTTTTAGATTACTAGCCCAGTGATAACATCACTCCACCATCTCTCTACAATGTAGGGAAACAAAACAATCAAAATTCACACAGCAAAGTTTCCCCAAACAGCAATGCAATAAAAGACCACCTAATTTGTCATCATGATGTTAAAGTATTCTTCATTTCAAATATAATATACATAATACATCTGCACACCTAAGCAAAAAAGATCTTTCAGATGGAATTTCTTCACAAAATCAGACTAGATTCAAAAAGAAGTTTCAAAAATATTAAGGAATACAGTGGTGAATTAGAAATGCACTTTTCAACGACCATTTGGAAGATGGTAATTTAGTAATTAAAAATAAATAAGTTAATGACACAAGGAGAAAAATAAGGTACATGAATGTGCACTCGAAGAAAGTCTGGAAGAATTGATACCTGGGTTTCAAGTACCTATCCTTTTAAAAGAATGTTAAATGAAAATTTAAAAAGGCAACAGGGAGAACAAAGAGCCAAGAGATAATAGATTTATAGAAAGCATTGATCAGAAAATTCTGAACAACCATTATGGGAAATGCATCATAATTTTTGATAGTATACAAATGCACATTCACCAGAAACATACCAGGAGTTAGAAAATTACAGATATAAATGTCAATCTGAAATGCTGGGGTTACTTCCATCGGAGAAAAAAAGGCCAAGATTTGACGCAGAGATAGTAAGAACTGCCAATGCTGGAGTCAGAGAAGGGTCCCGACCCAAAACGTCAGCTTTCCTGCTCCTCTGATGCTGCCTGACTTGCTGTGTTCCTCCAGCTCCACACTGTTATCCAAGAATTGATGTAGTTAGATTTAAAAACTATATTGGGTTAAGAGAGAGTGAATCGAGGAAGAATACACTGAACATAGTAGATATGCTCCAAAGACCTTGCATTGTGTGGCCTTTATTTGTAGGTGCCCTGATTTTTCAAAAATAGCTGATGTACAATAAGTTGGACAAGCTAATATTCTGGGATAGCATATCTACTGTAATTTTCTTCCTTTTTGCCCTCTGGGACAATTCTTTCCGCCCACAGCAGCTGCTCATGCTTCATGTTTTGGGAGCTGTCAGCAGTTCATCAGTATCTGACTTACTGGTGCAATAGGGCTTTAAAATTTAGTTACAGACTGGAAGGCAAGACCATGTGGCATACCCTCAAATTATTTAACTTTCATAAATTTTTAACCAGATTTACCTTATAAAAATGTTGGTCCTGTTTAATGAGAATTATGGTTTTGTAATAGAAGTTCCAACAACCAGCAGTTAATTATTTCCCCTTCTTTGCATAAGCAGAAATTATGTTCACATTACCAATTGTATCCACTGCCCCTATTTTCCATCTTTATTTCTATCTCTATTCCCCTACCAGATTGTTCATTTTTCAACTTTCTCTCCAAAGCTTCATTTCCCACCACTACCTCCCCCCACCTAACTGTTGTTAGGTGCCCTTTTTGTTTGCAGGTGCACATTTGTACAGATTCCACTGTATTTCCCCTGAGAGAGTCAGTGAGGGAGGATCAATTTAAACATCAATATCAAGTCAAAATTAAGATTAAGAGATGCTGGAGGAATGGATGCTTTGTCAAAGGGAGAGGTTGTAAGACCGCAAGACGTAGGAGCAGAAGTAAGCTTTTCAGCCACTGCGTCTGCTCCACTAGTCAAATGGGATCCTGGTTCTCCTGATAATTCTCAATTCCACATTTCTGCTTTTTCCTATAACCACTGACTCTGTTACTAATTAAAAATCTGTCTTTCTGTCTATTCAGCCTTGAATATACTCAACAAAATATCTTTATTGCTCAGTGCTTTGAATAAAGAATTGGGAAGTCATGTTGAGGTTGCGCAGGACATTGATGAGGCCACTTCTGGAATACTGTATCCAGTTATGGTCATCCAGTTATAGGAAGATGATTGTTAAGCTGGAGAGGGTTCAAAAGAGATTTAGCAGGATGTTGCCAGGTATGGAAGGCTTGAATTATAAAGGAAGGCTGAAACTTTCACTGGAGTGTAGGAGGTTGAGACCCGACCTTGTAGTACTTTATAAAATAATGAGGGGTATAGATAGAGTTAATGGTGACTGTCTTTTCCCTAGGATGGGGGATTTCAAGACTAGGAAGTACATTTTTAAGGTGAGAAGAGAGATTTAAAAAGACATGAAGGGCAAATGTTTTATACAGAGGATGGTTGGTGCGTGGAATGAACTTCCTGAGGAAGTGGTGGATATGGGTACAATTACAATGTTTAAAAGACATTTGGATAAGTACATGAATAGTAAAGGTTTGAAGGGATATGGGTCAGGTGCAAGCAGGTGGGGCTAGTTTAGTTTGGGATTATGTTCGGCACGGACTGGTTGGACCGAACGGTCTGCTTCTGTGCTATATGACAATGACATGGTGATGTGACTAGTAGCATTTCATTTCTCCAACAAAAAGCCAGCACACTGTAAAAGCACTACCATGTTGTAAACTTCACATGGTTTTGTCAATAAAATTATTTGAAAA